GATTCTTTACCGCCCCACCTGCTGCTTTCTCTCACAGAGCATCTTGGAAAGAGACACCTTCTTTAGCGAAGATCTTTTGCTGTAAGTCTCTGTTCCTTAACCCGCATACAAAACAGTCGCGCAATCTTTCTTCCAAGTCTTTAAACTCGCACGGTCTGGCTGCCCGCCTCAATGCCATAATAAAGTCCTTGGCAGATTCACCTGGCCTCTGGTTCCTTTGTTCAAAAGTGTGCCTCCAAGCAATGATGGACAACTTAGGCTGGAAATGCTCTTTCAGAAGTTTCTTTAAGTCAGTATACGTTACTGACTCCAGAGAAGCAGGGGCCACCAGGTTTTCTGCAATCTCAAAGGCTTCCTGCCCACAGACACATAACAGGGTTATGAATCGTAATGTAAATATCTGATATGCAGGGTATATTTTCATTGTTACGAATTGAACATAAGTAAAGCATAGTGATTAATCACAAAAACAATATAGCAATGCTTGATGGAGAAGCTTACTCTTCTTTGCTCAAAAATGTTGGGAGGGAGGGAAGGGGAAGGAAGGAAGGAAGATTGAAGGGGAAAGGAAGGAGATGGAGATTGAAGGGGGAAAGAAAGAAGGAAGGAAGGAGAGAGAAAGAGATTGAAGGGGAAGGGAGGGAGATGGAAGGAAGTAAGGAAGATTGAAGGGGAAAGGAAGGAGATGGAGAAGGAAGGAAATTGAAGGAGGAAGGAAGGAAGGAAGGAAGGAAGGAAGGAAGGAAGGAAGGAAGGAGAGAGAGAGAGATTGAAGGGGAAGGGATGGAGATGGAGATGGAAGGAAGGAAAGAAGGAAGGAAGATTGAAGGGGAAAGGAAGGAGATGGAGAAGGAAGGAGATTGAAGGGGGAGGGAAGGAAGGAAGGAAGGAAGGAAGGAAGGAAGGAAGGAAGGAAGGAAGGAAGGAAGGAGAGATTGAAGGGGAAGGGATGGAGATGGAAGGAAGGAAGATTGAAGGGGAATGGAAGGAGATGGAGAAGGAGGAGATTGAAGGGGGGAGGCACTGCCAAGGACCCACAAGCAGCCCCGCACAATTGCCCGGGGAGGGGAGAGGCTTTGGCGGAGAGCCTGGTGGAGAACCAAGCGGCGGCACCTCCAGAGCCTCAGAAGTTGGCTGGCCACCCTCTCACACCCGCCAATATGGAGCCCCCCATCCTCATCCCGGCATTCTTGCCCTCTCCCAGCCGCCCTCCGGGACTGCCCCTCCAGCCATCACAGCGGTAGGGTCACGGGAGTCCCTTTCCATACCGCACAGCCCATCGTATGCAAGAGGGGTGCGACCAGAGCGCTAGCTCCCGCTCGGAAGGCACCGCTTCTCCCGGCCCGGCCGGCTGGCCTCCAACACACATGCGGGCATTGCCGCCACCTCGTTCTCTTCCCCGCCCCCTGGCCGCTTCCGAGGCCCGGAGCCTGGCAAGCCGGGAAGGAGCCACTCCTGCTCAGCAGCCCCATGACCGCGCCGGGTGCCAGAGGGCCGAGGAGGCCTTCGACGGTGAGGGAGGCGGGCTGGGCGGTGCCCAGGCAACCAGGAGGCATGGAGACCAGCTTGGCACCGCCTCTCAGCTCAGTCGGCAGTGGCGGCAGCAGTTTTCTTGCCCTTCTCATCTCCTTCCTCCTGCTGCCCCCAAAGCGGCTCGGGCGGGAGCCGGGAGGAAGAGGGGTGCCTGGGGGGAAGCAGCTGGGCTGGTGGAGGGGATTGCGGGCCGCACGGCACCAGCCCCGACTGTGGCTCCATTGATGGACGGAGGACTAGGCCGGGCTGCTGCCTGCTGCCCCCGTGCTACCCGGCCTGGTCCTCCGTCCATCAATGGAGCTGTGGTGCGGGCTGGTGCCATGTGGCCCGCCGGCTCGGCTCTCCCCCCAGGCATCCCTCTTCCTCCCAGCGCCAGCCCGAGCCACCTTGGGGGCAGCAGGAGGAAGAAGGAGAGGAGAAGGGCAAGAAAACCGCTGCCGCCATCCCCGCCATCCTCCCGCTGCCTGGCCTTGCCCTCCGCCCATCTGATAGAGCCGCGGTGGGGGCTGGTGCCATGCAGCCGGCCAGCCCCTCGGCCGGCCTGGCTGCTCCCCCCAGGCACCCCTCTGACCCCGGCACCCGCCCTAGCCGCTTTGGGGACAGTAGGAGGAAGAAGGGGAGGAGGAAGAGGATAGCAAGGAAGCCGCCACCAGTGCTGGGCCCTAGGAGGTGGCTCTCCTCTCCTACCTTTGCTGAATCTCCTTCTTCCTTCCTGGCAGCCTGGACTCTGGCACACCTTCTTGGCCAGCGGGTCCAATGGTCGGGCTGGCTGGGGATCGCAGGGGCTGGTCTCCCTTGGGCCGCGGCTTGCAGGAGGGCTGGCCCACTCAGTGGAGCCTCCAGTGGGCCACTCCCAACAGGGATCCCGGGATTTCCCCAGGCGGCTCCAAGGCCACGAGGCCCTGGCTGCACTTCTCCCAGGAGGTGGGGCACCCAGGCGCAGGGCCAATCAGAAGCCCTGCAGGAGGTAAGTCCTCCTGAGAGAGAGAGAGAGAAGGGAAGCAAAAGTGCCTCTCTGTCTCTCTCTCTGCAAATGGCGGAGGAGGCCATGCAGAGACGGATCTCGGTTCCTAAGACCAACGGAAATACTGTATGTGTTTTCCAATGGTCTTAGGCGACCCCTGTGAAACGGTCGTTCGATCCGAAAATGGGTCATGACCCACAGGTTGAGAACCGCTGCTCTAAAGCAACCTCTAAAGTTATCCTTGATAACTTTAAGATATATGGATTTCAACTCCCCAGATTCCCCAGCCAGCAAAGGGAAGTCCACACATCTTAAGAAGCTCTGTTCTAAAGAAACTTTACTCCTTTCTCAATCACTTTCAGTTCCCAGAGAATTGGGTGAAATAGAACTGGCACACAACAAATAAGCATGTATTGTCAAGGGTCATTCTCATTAAATTAACTTTTTAGCATTCTTTGATTCTATTCCTTCCTACTAGGTCATTTTTTCTTAAATATACATTTTACACAACTTTATAAATTTGAATCCTGTATCTGTCAATACCATACTTTTATTTCAACCTTAAAAAGCTGGCACAAATGTCTTATTTTTATATAGTTGAATATAAGCTGTATCTTCCAAAACCAATTTTAAAAGATAATTAGAAACATTCATTTTAATATTTTTTTTCATCAAGACTAAAGGGTTAATAGCAAAATTTAAATCATCTTTAATCTGTTTTTAATAAAATTATGTAACGTGACATTTACACAGTGCCTTTAGCACACACGTTAAATATTTTACTTTATTTGCCCTTTCAAAGTAACTATATAGGAGATGTAACACCAATCCAATCATTGTCTTTCAAGAGAGGCAACTTCCAATGGAGCGTTATAACAATATAGCCTTAAAATTGCAGTTACAATTCTTCTGCAAGGCTGCTACAACTGCTGCTGTGCATAGACACTATTTTGAAAGCAGGGGGCACTGAATCAGAGAGTGTAATGACTGAAACGATCTTTCCAGGGCATCTAGTTCCTCCTTCTGCCTATATGCAAGAATCCACTTTCACAACACCAGCAGAACCTGTAGGATTCTGTGCACACAGACACTGATGGATAAATCCACAAATGGGGTTAACAAAAAGTAGTTCCTCCCCCCCCCACATTTTTTTTTATATTGAGCACTGTACTAATGTATTGCACTTCAAGTCTCACAAAACCTAGAAGCAGTTGCTAAATAAGAATTGTGGGAATTACAGTCCACATCTTGCAGAACACATTGGGGTTGGCTATCCTACACAGAAATTTGGTTGGGAAGTTTTTTCAAGAAACGTATCTTTTTATATTTTTATTCTTACACTTTTAACGTGACACCTTTTTAAAAGAAGGATTTTAAAGGATTAGGAGGGCAGCAGCCGAGACTCTGGAAAGACCCTGGACATAAAAGGTGAATGGTGTAAATAAAGTGTTACAAGTACAAAAACAGTTTCACATGGTATCAAGATCTTGTTATGCCAGGGAATGCAAGCTGTTCCATCAATAGCTTTAATATTTCCTTTCTTCCTCATTCCTCGTTTTTTAAAATAGAAGCTGAATATTTATTGCAATAAATTGTACCAGACAGGAAAGACAAAGACTTCTCAAGATATCATCTCTACATGTGTGGATATTTTTAGGCATAAGAATTAAGGGTTGCAAAGCTTAAGCATTTTAGCTACTCAAGAATACCATTTGCAGGAACTGCGGGTCCTATCCACTAAACCTGACAGTGGAGTCACCAGGAGTGAAACTCGACTACAAAATCTTACCCTGTAAACAACCTTTATGGAGAATTCAGCGGGATTTATATATACTTCGGCTAAGACTTCAATCTCGATACGCCGGTCCCAAATAGCGCATGTCCAAACAGAGCTCAGAATCTGACCTGGGCAACGGAACAAGGCGATTTCTCAATAAAGAACCTCATAATTCTCAGAGTTTAAGGCTGCAATCCTGTACACCTGCGTCCCGAAGAATCCCTCCCAAATCTCTGCGCCTTTTGCACAACTGCAAAATCACCAACATCCCGCTCCTTTCACACCACACAACCCCCCCCAAAAAAAAATCTGCGCGGGGAGTCAGTCTCCCCCCCCCCCCAAAAGCGGAAAAGTTTAATTCTTTCCAAATCGGTCCCAACCTGGATCGCCACTCCCGAGCAGAAGAGGGAGGTTTCTTCAAGCTCCACGCTCCGTACCCGCGCAACCGGCGCTTTAACCTTGGGACTCAAGCCCGATTCCCCCGGCCCCCTAAAGGATCAGGATGCGCAAAAAGCGCCTTGCAGACTCGACATTCCCACTGCCACCCCCTCCACCCGGCGCCCCCCCAAATACAGAACTAGGCGAATTCTCTACGGAGCAAGAAGATCTAGTTGCCCGTCGGCTTAAAGAAGCAGCGCAGGGAGATCCTCGCCCGCGCTCGAGCGAGCCGCGGTGCTCGCCTCTCCTCTCCCTCTTTCCAACCCGACCTCCTTCTCTGGCGGTCACCTGTGGAAATAGTGGCCGCAGAACATGCCGCCCAGCAGCCTGCAGCCCAGCGGGGCGAAGCCTGGCGGGTTACGCAGCGCCAGCAGAAGCGCGGGCACCAGGAAGGCGGGCAGCTCCTGGAGGAACCAGGCGCGGCGGGCCGGCAGGTGGGCGCGGCGCGGGGTCTCCGCGGCGTGGTTTCCCCCCGGGTTTGGCTGGCGGGGCTCGTGCTTCCCGTAGCCACAGGGCCGTTGACAAAACACCAACAAGTGCAGCAGCCCCAAGATCAGCAACAGGGCGCTCAGGGTCATCACCAGGCTCGGCAAGCAATGCATGTTCTCCAGCCCGGCCGAAGAGGCGCTCCAGAGACAACTGAAGAAGTCAAAGCGAAGCCTGCCAGTAATAGAACCGCCGAGGTGCGAAGAGAAGGGGGAGCTCGCCTGGCCCTGGGTCGGCGGAACCCGCCCTTCTGCCTTCCCCTGAGCGCGCAGCTTGAAATCTGCCCGAGGTTTGCAGAAGTGAGAGCGCTCCCTCCCTCCCCCCACCGCCGCCCACCCCCCCCCTGCTTCTAGCTAAAGCAGCTCAGATTCGGAGTTCGCCCCCTCTCGTTTGTACCCGCTTTGTCCTGCGCGAAGGTCTCCCAACAACTTGGGGCCTTCCTGATTCAGACTGCGCTACTGCGCGATCTTCAGGATTCCCAAGCCCGGAGACTGGAGTCAGCTGCGCTCGGACAGGTGTGAACTGAAGCAACACATCAGTTATCTGCGTCAGTTCGGAGGAGGCTGCGAGAAGGGAACGCTTAACTGAATTTGGGGCTATGTGAAAGTTGTGATGTCTATTGGAGATTCTCCGTCGTCCAGGTCATAGTTGTCCCAAAGATGCTTTTTCACGAGGTAACTGGACTTTCTCGTTTTCCTCTGAAGACGTTTCGCTTCTCATCCAAGAAGCTTCTTCAGCTCTAACTGGATGGTGCGGAACCCGTCCTCAAAGGAAAACAAAAAAGTCCAGTTGACTCGTGAAAAGCATCTTTGAGTTTAAGCTGTAATAATAAAAACAAGTCATCTCGTTGCTTTTTGTGGTTTCTGATCCGCCCTTACCTTACTAGAGAGAATTTCTTTCGATTCACTTGCGCTGACCTTGGCTGAGGTAGGCATTTACAACAGGTCCTTTCATATTTGCCTTTTCCTTTCACAGATTGATTGACGTAGCATCAAGTCTTCCTAACTTGTAGGGATCACCTATCTAGATTTTTCTCTGTTTTTCCCCAACCAGGTTTTTCAGGTCTTCTCAACTCATCATTACTGTTGATTGAATCTGTCCACCTTGCTTACTGGTCTTCTTCTTCTCTTTCCTTCCAGCATAAAATAAAATGTGGAGATATGGTAGCATCTTCCAAAGCAGTGGTTCTCAACCTTTTTAATGCTGCGACCCCCAACCGGTCATAAGTCGAGGACTACTCAACCGGTCGTAAGTTGAGGACTACTCAACTGGTGCAGCACCGTTTGCAGAATGGGACTTTTGGCAGGCTCAGCAGGGCAGAGACAGCCTGGACATTCCTATTGGCTTTTGAAAGCCAATAGAATTAGACTCTATTCAAGAGAGTCTATTCTATTGGCTTTCAAAAGCCAATAGAATAAAAGGGAGTAGCACAGCTAAGGAAAAGGAGAAAAAAATGGTAGACTGCGTTGTTTGGCGACCCCCGTGAAATGGTCATTCGACCCCAAATGGGGTCCCGACCCACAGGTTGAGAACCACTGTTCCAAAGGGATACTGGGACTTAAAGGCTGAGTTTTGTGTCTCCTTGGTATAAATGGTTTTCTGGCCCAGGTGTTCCAGAGACCAACTTTTGTTGCTCCTGAAGATGGTTCATGCCCACAGAAGTCAGCTAGACTTGCAGATGGACTCTCAATGCTCACAGCAGCAAAGTGGTTGCCATCATGCATCTGCCAGTTATATGTCAGCCACATTTCTGAACCCAGTTTAATAAAGATAAAAGGGTAGCAACTTTTTATTCTGAAATCAGCCTCTTCCAAGATGATGTGCAATAAATTATGTTCTACAATCGCCTGGAGCCCACAGTGTATTAAGCCAAGTCATATAATGGTAGGGATCTGGCATTTTTTCTTCTCTGTGTGATCTTGCACAAGGTACTTTCTGAGCTGTAAAATGCAAGCTTGGGATGTGTGTGTATAGATAGAAGAGTGTATGTGTGTGTGTGTGTGTGTGTGTGTGAGTGAGTGAGAGGGAGAGAAGGGGAGAGAGAGTTAGTTTAGGAATGTTATTTAAGGGTTTCATGGCTTCTAGAACTTGGAAGTTTTTCACTGCTTCCCATCGCTAAATGATGGAGAAGTGAAATAAATAAAATATTGATCATTGTCATCAGAAAAGATTCTGGTAACATGGAAGCCCACATTCAATCCTAAAGGTTGAGGTTTCCCCCTCTGATGAGACTTCAACCATTATACTAACTATATCAATTGCTCCCACTTGATTCATTCTGATAATGTGAGAACTTAGATGATTCAGTTTTATAACATGTTGCCTAATCCAGAGATCTTCAAACTGGCTGAGGAATTCTGGGAGTTGCAATCCACAAGTCATAAAAGGGCCAAGTTTGAACACCCCTGGCCTAAACTCAGGGTTCTGGCTAATTCTAAAATAAATGAATAGTAGGTGTAGGGCTGTAAAGGGAGAATGGCTGGGATCTAAGTAAAAAAGCAGATGGAAATCATTGTCATCTCTAAATGGCCCATATAATCCAGAGATCCCATATAATCTAGGGTTCTCTAGATTATGAGCCCATTTAGGGATTGTTTCATTGAACAATGCTCCTGCTGCTGTACACATTTAAAGATACTAATCAGACTTCCAGAAATACTAGTAATTCTTGAAGTTTTTTGTTGCCTGCAACCAATACAAAGTGGAATAAAATCCCTTGTGTTATTTTATCAAAAGCCACATTATTTCAAATGGTGAAACCAGGAGACTGAGAGTTCTGGTCCCTCCTTAGCCATGAAAACCATCTGGGTGACTGACCCAGCCACTTTCTCTCAGCCCATCCTTACAGGGATGTTGTTGTGGGGAATACAGGAGGAGGAAAAGACTATTAGGTATGTTCTGTACCTTGAGTCATTTATAAAGTAATAAAAATGGGATAAAAATCAAATCAATAAATACATTCTCAGAAAGGTTAGAGTTTTGTAATTCCTCTGGATTTCCTGGGCAAACATGTTGTTCTTGCACTAAGGGAATTTTTTTTTTCTGCTTGTAAAATTGGGCATTGTATGTGAAAGATTTATATGTAGCCATTACTTGAAAACATAAAGACTCTTCTCTCCAAATTAGGTTGGCACAAAATCCATAGCAAAGTGCTTCAATTGGCAAACAAGCTAATAAATATTTCTTCACTTGTTGAAAGGGAAGCTGAATTATTTCTGTTTTGTTAGATTTCTGCAAGGCTGGAATGATCTGGCTCTCCCCCCCCTCCCCGGCACTCCTGCCAGGGAGCTATTGGAGCTCTGATATGGGTGCAGGTCTGTCGGTTGTTACGGTTTAAGATTTTTTTTAAAGGGCTTTTGACTATTATTGCTATTTTTGTTATGCCCTTTGTTTGATATCATGGATTCTATTGTTGCTTTGATTTCTCTGCCACTCAGAGTTTTCGGTAGGTGGGCAGCCATATAAATATGTTTAATAAATACATTTTGCCCGTGTTTTGAATTTGCAAATATGGTTTCAACCCATATTATCCCACCTGAACTTATAGCACTGGATTATCTGCACATGATCTTCAAAGGGAGACCACGTCAAGTAGACCAATACTGTTGTGATTCCGTGCCAGCCTGTGCTCCCAACAGCTGAGTCTGAGGAATCTGAGGAGGAGGTGGAAGAAGCATTTGAAGGGCCATCAGGGGCAGAGGGGGCTCTAATGAATTACAGGACTCACGGTTTGATGCAGAGCTTGGGCCCTCTAGTCATGTTCCTGATGAAGCTCAGCTGTGTGAGGAGAATGAGTCAGACTCGGAGGACTCACACCTGATGGACATGCTAATTGATGCATGCACACGTCGTCAATTAGCGAGAGTAAATCATCAGCAGTCAATACAGCAACTCCAGAGTAAAAGGAGAAGGCACTGAGAGGCAACGCCTTGGGACTCCTGTATAAAAAGAAGGCAACCATTTGCAAAGTACTTCTTTGAATCCTGGTCTGTTCATCTTGCTTCTGACTACTCTTCTGTTTGCATCATGTTTCCTGTGGACTATTTCCTTCATTTGGATTGAGTTTTGTTGTTTGTGTTTTGGACTATTTGGCAGGTTTGTCACCCATATTAAAAGGGGTTTGTTTTGTTTTAAAGTCTCCAGCCTATTTTATCAACAGGGGTTTGGTCCTTGTGCCTTTAACAAGGATGGCTATAGGCTGGGATAGAACAAATACATGTATGACAAAACACTATTTTTATGAACATGAACAATCAGAGAATACGATCCAGTTGGAAATTGTTTTCTCTGCCAGCAGGTTGTTTCCTAAATATAGAGAGAATATTATCTTGATCCTTTTCCTCTCCATCAAAAATCATAAAGGATACGATGGCAAGGACTGAAGAAGGAATTATGAGGAGAGCTATTCTCTTCAACAGTAGGGTTGCTCTATCATAACAGAAGGTTTTTGCAAATAGAATCATCTTAGTTGTGGGCTGCAGGTTTTGGACCAGTCATTGTACAATAGAAGCATGCTTGATCTGGCAACTGATTGGTAATACCGGACTACTGGTTATGCCTCTACTGCTTTGTTGTGCTTTCATCCCAACAATGACAATTCAATGTCCGGTTCCTCCAACCAAAATTGGCTCTTCTTTCACTAGCATGTTTGAAAAAGAATGCAAAGTAGATTGTGGGTCCTGCATATGTCCTTGTAGTCAGAAATAGCCGTCAGAATATAATTTTCCTCAGCAATCGCAGAGGAAACAAGGTTGGTTATATGTAGTTTAATCCTAAGTGAGGAAGCCATATTATGGAAGGATGGACACTTTTATGTACTTCACTGTTGCATGATTATTTGAAAATAGCAAAAGTAAATGTTGACAGTTTAAAAGCAAAGCAGGTATGTTAAAGTTAAGAACACCTGGCAGTATACCAGTACCCATTATTCTAAGCACTTGTCTACACTTGCCCAACATTTGCCCAACTTTGCTTTTCTTGCCAGAAGATGGGATGGAAAATAATGCTAGGTAAATCCAACCAATCTCTCTCTTGAACTTGGCCCAGAAAAGTTATGTAAAAACAACATCAAGTCAGTTTCTCTTACAGAATGGCGTTAAACAATGGAGTCAGTGCATAATATGCCAACATTTTTTCAGCTGGTTAAAAAACTAATGGATGGTGTCTACAAGAGTTGTCTGCAAGAGCTCTAAATATTCATACTTCTATGTTAAGTTTAAGATAATGAGCAC